TAATTGTTTGATTATTCTGTTACCTTTGGATGTGTGTGTGTGCGCGCGCACGCACGCACGCAATGCACTGTGCTTTGCCGCGATTCAAGAGACAGTCCTCTTCCCTGAGAGTACTTCATCCAACCCCTTGCAAACACCTAGACAACCTCCCCTCTGATCTATCTTAACCGAACCAGTAGGTAGGTAACCGCTAGGGGGGGGATCGCATTAGGATATAAATCTTTTCCGTCTTTATTAGTTTCATACTAATTACCTAATGGCTCAGATACTCGCCCCCCCCTCCGGGTCTGAAGTAGAACAAACGGTATTGTTGTTGTTTTTGTTGTTGTTTTTGTTGTTGTTGTTGTTGTTATCCTTGTTGATGTCTCCTATCTGCGTGGTTTGTCCCGGACTGTCCATTGTCTATGTGTATATTGGGGTAGCTTTGATGGTCGGTGTTTTGATTGTCTTCCTAATGGTCGTGGTCCCGGCGGCCAGTGCCGCGCTGGCCGTCGAGACGACGTTAAATTTTGTAGTGCATCTTGCGGTATACTGAATAGTTGCACACACACACACACACACACAGCGTTGGTTGGCTGCGCAACCCATATCCGTGCATTGCGAGACCAGTCGATTGGGTTTTCACGTTGGCACCGCGAAAAAAGTCGAAATGAATTGCTGTCGGAGAGTGAACAGAGTTGTACAACCTTTTGGAACAGGGAAACAGGGAAAATGTGTGTTTCAGAAATTCCGCCGGTCACAGCAACGGCCACCAATGCAAGGGAAAATTGGGGGCTGGCTACCGGAAAGTACTCAACGTCATGTGATCAAGTCAGATAGGGGACTGGGCTCATCAGAGCCGGTCAGAGAGATATATAATCAATAACGACCTAATAGTAAGTATCTAGTCAGATCTCGGTCGGATTTCGGCTGCTGCTGATGTATGCTGTCCTGGACGATTTCAGTGTATCTGAACTGTTGCCTACTGCAGACAACCACAACGGCAAGGATCACCAAAGCAAGTCCATGGTGATGAGCACATCCTTCTGTTGACACAAGATTGGTTCCCATCGGTGGATTACAATCGCCGATCTTGAGCTATCTTGAACACCCTGGTGTTGTCGTTAGTAAAAAATACCAGGGGTAAATTTAAAGAAACTCTGCAACCGTGCATCTCCATCGACTATCAAACACAAACATGGTGGAATTTTTTTAACACAAGTGAGATCATCGCACCCCCAGAGAGGCGTGTGGAATAATGCGAAATATTCATGAATTACCACCCAATTATCACTGATCAGAGTGACTGGTTTATACCTGAACCGAAGCTGCATGGTTACTTCACCGGTTGGGAGCGTTCACACACGTAACCAAATGAAACTTTGATATAAACAATCCACGGCCCGTTTTTCGGTTCGTCGAGTACGTGTGCTTGTATGCGTGTGTTTTTACGGCCCGATTGGGATCTCAATATAAATCCATACTAACCGATTGTGGTCCACTTTACTTACCGTTTTATAACTTATCTCTGGACGCAGGTTAATTGAGGCACACGAAATGTGTTAATGAGAAAAGCGGGTTCCTACTAAGTTCCACCTCCCTTCCCTCTCCCTCTCTCTGTCTCAACCGTGCTCTTATGAGACGATAGTTCCTAATCCTGTTAATTCCAATCGGCTCATTTTGGGCCTTTATTTCGACCCGTGATATCGAAATAAATTGACTTGCAGCTCAATCAATTCATGCTTTAGAATAATACGATTACCACCATGTATGCGCGTATACATACAAGTACACCTATGTTGTGCTCAGCTTGTGCCACCTGGATATGTACTGGGGTCTCATACCAGGATTATCGGGTTCCAGTGAAGGATGACAACACACACACACACACACACACACACACACACGGAGCAGTGAGTGCAGCCAACCTGTCGTGACATTAGGCTGGAAAATGCGCATGTATCGTTCCGTGTAAAAGTGTTCTCGCTATGCGTTAGTATATGTGAATCCGCAGTGCATCCAATAGACACACACACATACACGCATTCAGGCACCTGTTTCATCCAAATGGCGACAGTTTGTCTGGCATTTGGTGGTCCCAGCCCCAACATACTCGGTTCACATTGGCTCTGGTGTCGCGCCGTTGCATTGTCGTGGTCGCTGTCATTTTTTGCCATTTCTGATGCTGTTACTACTACTACTACTGCACTTGCCAAGCACCAACGCACGCACGCGCGCGCACTGCACGAGAAGCACGTCACCCAGACCACCTACACAGATATTCTGATCTGACTTATCTGGCCGCCGTCCGTCTGTCCGCCTTCCGGCCTGCCTACTCGGTCACCCCGTACCAAATGTATTCACATGGCTTCGATCATCCTCGGACGATATGAGAAACCGCTGTACTTTCGCCTGCTCAACAGCGCATGTGTGTGTACGGGCGGGTGGGCGGACGGCGTGAGCGCTCGCTGGTGGGCAGGCGGGCACGCGTGGGGTGGTGCCAACTGAGGCGGTCAAGTTTGGACGCGCTTTCCTGAGAGCGAAAAACCGGTGGCGCTTCGATAGTATACCACACTTGCGGATAGTTGCTTTTTATATTGCGGTGGTCGTGAAATCGTTTGTCATTTCAGTCCTCCCCGTAGTATAAAAGTCCCGTATGGCAGTGCACGGATATTGGTGCGCGTAGGTGTATATGTGTGTGTGTGTGCGTGCGTGCGTGCGATCTCATTCATGTGTGCTCAACTGTACCGCTACCACTACTACCACCACCACTACTACTCTTACCACTACCACTCTTATTACTATTATTATTATTGTTATTATTATTATTACTGTTGCTACTGCTACTCCTCCTCCATCTCCTCTTATTACTACTATTATTATTACTAAACTGTCGGGTTGAATTGAAGCTAGAACACATCGCGAAGGGACTGTGATACATCGGAACCAGTGTGTTGCCTCCGCTCGGTTCCGCGGACGTTGCGTGTCAGAACAAATCGGATAAATTACTGCACTGCATGTTTGTCCTCTAAGTTGGTTCACAACGCGAAGTTATTTACTTCAGATATTCCGAAAAGTTGACTTTGTTGAAGCATGATCATCGCTGATTTTATGCAACGTAGGTCACAACGAATGCGAGCCAAAAGTCTTATTGCCCAGCCGGCTTGACTACCTGGAACGGGCGGGAATGAGTTGGTATACTACTGAAATAATGTAACAAATCGTGGACCACTGTTTTTACCCAGAACGCAACAGCGAAATGATGATCCAGTTATTATACATCAGAACAGGAGTTCTCGTGAGTGTCAGAAATCCACGTCCCATGGCAGTTTTTGCTGTCCAGATCAGTCTCAATCCTTTGTCCAGATTTCTCTGGATCCAAATCGTCCCTCTCCTTCACAAGCATCGCGTCACACCCTCAAATGGCCACTTGGAGCAGCTTGTTTCGTAAAAGTCCCGACGTAAGCCTGTGTCACTCTGGTAGCTACCAATTTTATTATCGCCCAGTACAAAAGTATAAAAACGGTCCCCGTGACTCACCACCCAAAATTCCCACGGGTTCTGATTTACCCCAAGATGAGACTGTGATAGACAACTGATCCCTGCTTTTATTGAATCAAAATTCTAATGCTAAAATGACCAATAAAAAAGCCTCATTCTA